AAAAAAAAAAAAAAAAAAAAGAAAATATGAGTTTTTAAAAATAAAAAGAATGTATTTCCTGAATTAGTCAGTGAAACCAACCACATAGTCATAGTAACATATAAAAACCTAATCAATCAGAATACAGAACTAGACTTAAACCAAGGAAATGCCTTAAGGAAGTGGTTCTCAGTCTTTCCAATGCCGCAACCCTTTAATATAGTTCCTTATGTTGTGGCGACCCCCCAAACACACAATTATTTTCGTTGCTGCTTCGTAACTTTTGAGCGTGTGTGTTTTCCGATGGTCTTAGGTGACCCCTGGGAAATGGTCATTCGACCACCAAAGGGGTCACGACCCACAGGCTGAGAACCGCTGCCTTAAGGCATAATCATCTTCATTCTTAGTTTTGGACTCTAAGAAATTTAGACTTGACTTAGACTTAGACTTTTAATTATAATTTATAAGATACAAGCAATAATACTAATAATAGCACTAATACTATTACTCAAAATTAATTAAAGTTAATTCAATTAAAATTTTACTACGTCTTGCGTTAAACACATTAAAAGTTATAGTCCTAAACAACCCATAATGCGGCTAATTACGCATAATACTTATTTTGAAATTGCCAAACTAGCGGTAATAAACCTTATTTGGCTAAATTCCCAGCTGACTGTGTATAACCCTGGGAGTTATACGCAGTCAGCTGGGAATAACCCTGAGGGGGAGCTGTAAAAACCCACTTATTGGGTCAAGGCACATTTTTCGGAAATCTCCGTTTTATTTGTAATGTAAAGAAATGAAATTCATCATTTTTCAATAATGAAAAATAATGATTCAATTACTATGCCAGGGTAATAAAGGGGCAGACTGCAATCAATTTCGCAGATTCATACTAGAATGTTCCGCACCATGTCCACGGCTACTTCACAATCGAAAAAGTGTTACATTGTCATCATAGTCATAGGTATAGTATAGGCATAGGCATGTTACAGTACGTTGGATGTTGTTATTAAAATTTCTAGCCATAAGTATGCCGCATGATTAATATTAATAATGAATTAATGAGCTAAATAGGTTAGTAGTTATAAATTAGTTGCTATGATGGTTATATTTGATTAAGGCAAAATATTTCTTTCCTTTTAAAAAAAAAAATGAAAACGGGAGTAGAAAAATGAAAAAGAGAGTATAAAAATGAAGCCAGTCGCGTTACAAAACCCAAGCCGACTGAGTTCAGAATTACTACTCATAATCGTAGGGCAGTTATCAATGTTAACCGCATGATTTAGAGCCTAATATTTGCACATTTACGGCAATTAAAATTATTTATTTTTTTATTCTTCACTGGTTTAGACAAAACTGTAAAACTCTTCTGTGTTTTGTTTTTCCTACTGGCAAGAGCCCAAGCCGAAGGCAAAATAGAAATAGGTGAGAATTGAAAAAAAAAAAAAGACGAAATTTATAGACCTATTAGTAGGCTTATCTTTATTAATTATACATTATTATGATTTGGTGACCATGGATCGACTAAATTCCATGTTGTGTGCAGGAAAAAAAAAACCTTTTAAGCGTACCGTATAAGATAGGCTACATAAAATATAGGTCTTTTATTAATCTTCTATTTTTGTGGTTCATCAAATTGAGATGTGGAGATAATGTTACGAGTTATATACTGGCTTGTGCTTTGTAAATCACCATTTTAATATTCTTTGTTTGCCCTAGTTGTAGATACTGAAAGTGAGCCAACTTTTAAAACTAAAATCTTAAACCAGTTAACTTTAAAGCTCAAATTTTCAAATGATCTGTATGTATCTTTTTTTTTAAAATAAAATTTTTGATGATATATATCATTATATATAGCCTATGTATATTATATTATCTTATTTCAGAGAACAATGATACAGGGCCCTGTCCAGATCCCATAAAATCAAAAGTATGTTTAGGCGGCGATGTCCCAGTATGTTGCCTGGAAACAGAGTACTGCATTACGGGAGCATGTGAAAATTGCTTTAGTAGCAAACTTAGTGACCCCTTGACGTTGTGCTCAAGTTTAGAATATAATGTTGCTTTGACCAATAACCCAGAAAAATGTGCTTCAGCTTGCAGGCACTTGATCAGTCAGAGTCAGTGGAAAAATGGAAAGTGTAAGTTTCAATTAGAATTTGAGATAAGCAATTAGAAAAAATGTAAATCTAAGACCAATGTTGTTATAATATCATACAGTATGCAAAATATTTAAATAATCTCAGGGTTACAGAAGAAAACCATTTTTTGGTTAGAATTATTGCTTATGTCCTAATTACAAATGTTTCAATTTTTAAAAACTTAAAGATTATTAACTGAGGTCTACTAGTACTAGAGTGGCATTTATTTATTGGATGAAAATATACATTACACGTTCAATACCAGTAAGAGCAAAGTTTTAAATTTGCTATTTTTTAACTCAATAACAATCAATCAAATATTTCTTTTTTTTCTGCTTTGTGGCCATATATTTCTACTGTATATTTATTGACATATCAAACATGAAAATATCAGCCAATAATTCAATGGTTACTTCGTATGATCAGAATATGAAGTAATTGTTAAAATAATCATTTTGTATTGTAAGAAAAATCAGGGAATGTGATAAACTTGAAGTGGAACAAATGAGAGAAAGTGCATTGTCTACTATTTATTAATTGGTTCTTGAACTACAAGTTTAAATCTTCCAAGTACATTCACTGGTCTAAACTTAAATTTACTTAGATTTTAGATTGAATTATCCATTTTTTTTCATTAAAAAATATAATGTCAAGCAAAGCAAAAATGTAACCTTGCATAAAAAGATAATCAGACTCAAATATGAATTAGATGACGTGATATTTTTTACAAAGCAGAATGCTATATGATAGGGACTTGTGTTGAGCACACATGTTCATAAAATATTTGCAATATCCTTCAAATGATTTTTATTATTAAAAAAAAAAGACAAGTGTTCTGTATATTAACGCTTGTTTTTTACAGATGAGAATGGGAAAAGTAATGTTAGTGAAACTACATTGGCATTTGAAATTGTCCATATTCCAACTGAAAAGACCAAGACAAGTGATGTCACCACGGAACCCAGCGATTCAAAAGGTTTGTGTAAACTAATCCGGAATGGAAAATAGAAATAACAACAAAAAGCAGATACAATTTCTTGTCCCCACTGTTTCCTTATAAATAATTAAATATGAAAGTGAATATTTGAAAAGAAATGAGGGAAACAATATTTCAAAACAACCTTATTGCTCTTGAATAATCCATGCTTATTCTAAATTTAAATTAAAGATTAATAAGTTTATCTTTAATGATAAGTACTAAAAATGATGTTTTGAAATACATTATAGTGTTGTCTTTACTAAGAAATGGAATTATGCCATATATATAAACATATAGGCCCTATTATGTTTTTATTGACATATGAAGCATGAACATGTAAACCAATAATTTAATGTTTGTTTTAGATCAGAATATTTAAACTCAACATTTTGTATTGTAGGAAACATCACTAGATGTGATTAACTCACATTGAACAAATGAGAAAGTTGATTTCCCTAAATGTATCGATTATTTTAATTTGCACTACAAGGTTTAAACCTTCCACATACATTCATTGGTCTAAACTGAAATTTACTCAGATTTAATTTGCCCCCCACTTTTTACCTAAAAAAAATATGTCAGGTGAAACAAAAAATGTTTCTTTGCATAAAAAGCTAATCAGATTCAAAGATGACTTACACAGCGTGATGTTTTTACATAGCAGAATGCAGCGTGATAGGGAGTTGTGTGAGAACACATGTTGATAAAGATATTTGCCCACATCATTCAAATGATCTATTGTTTTGTATCTTGATAATTTGTTTTACAGATCAGAGTGGGATGAAACAAAATAGTAATGTTAGTGTGTCAACATTAGTAACAGAAAAGGTTTGCATTTCAACAGTAAAATGCAGGCAAAGTGATGACACAATAGGTTTGTGAAAACTGTAATTAGTGCAGAAAATAGCAATAACATTTTTAAAACAAAAGCTGAAAACCATAATTCACATGGATGTTAAAATTTATTTAACAAGTTAATTTATTGAGGGATTAAAATTTAATGTTCACAATTTTGTTTTAACTGAAGATAAGATGGGATTCTTTTTTTTGTATCCAAATAAATGGAAATGTGTTTTTTGCTTACATTGTACGAATTCGTTTTCTGCATTTGGATAAACATTCTTCTTAGTGTAACAATTTTGAACTAGAAAAATTAAAATTTTGAAAAGTATTTCAAAAAAGCAAAACTCAGCCCTCATTTGTTACAAAATGCACTTCCTAATGACTCTATTGATTTTAAGAGTTAACATTTTATAACAGCCTTGGAAAGATGTTGGTAATTTCTGAAAGGTTGGCTAACAAAAGAATTTATATATCTTTCTGTGTTCTTTCACTTAAAAAACAAACTATTTTGCGTAAATTTTATCTATAAACTTCTAGTGGGGAAATTCACATATTTTCTAAATTTATAAATAATATTTGATTTTTAAAATTGTTTGTGTATTTATTTTCAGGGATTGTGACTTTAGTTATGGTCATACTTTTAATTCTGGGCTATGTTGTATATAAAATTTTCTCCTATGTGTGCCGGAAAAAAAAACTATCTTACAATCCAGTTCCTAATAGGGAATCAGGTGGGTTTTAAGGTGGAATATATATATATATATATATATATATTTATAAATAATTAATATATATATATATATATATATATATATTAGTTAACCAAAGTAGATGCACTAGGGATTCAAGTCATTACATTTATAGTTTATTTACTATTTAAATCTTAAGTTTTAAGTTTTTTTAAATCTTATTTAACTGTGTACATTTTTAAATACTTGTGAATAATACCAAATGAAAAAAACTGCCCCCATACATTAATTCATTGTTGGAGATTAGTTTTATTAGGCTCAAGCATTTATTTTTGTTTTGTTTGTTTTGTTGTTATTCTTTTAGTTGAAAAATTGTAAAATAGCTTTGGGTCAGTTTGTGTCATTCTTTCAGTTGTTTTATATTTTCGCTATTGAAGGATTTTGCATTTAATTTGTTTCCTTTGTGTCTGAAATCAGAAGTGAACAAAACCATAGCAATAGGCCAGCAAGGGCGTGTTTCAAGGATAAGAAAAGAACAACAGACAGATGGTCGAGGTATTTGCACTATTCCATAATAATCTTAAGAGTGTTGGACTGCCATAAAAGCAGTCAAGTAGATTAAATTTAATTTAAACTTGTATGAATGTCTTTTGCTGTGCTAATGAAGGCATTTGCCGAAACATCTTCATTTGTAATCTAAGTAGCCATTATTAAAGCTCAGCCTATTTGTTTTGTTTACACAAATTTTTTGTGTCCCATTAATCCATCATAATCTACGTTACTTAAGTAATATAAGAGTTAGTATAAATATCAAACAATGTTGTAACAATTTTTTTTTCCAGCTCCAACTTCTGACAGCTCAAATCCTCCAAGTGTTTCTTCTGGTGCCGGTGTCCCAGACAATGGGTTTGGAATAGATACTGTTAAAAGACGAGGGGATGGAAGTACAGTCTCTGAAAATGAAATAATTGATCTTTCAGTGTGATGAGAGTTAATTTATGGCAGTAAATGTATGTTTTAAAACAAATGCTTTTAGAGCAGTTCTTTTTTGTTGAATCTCGCTTTGTTTATCTAAATTATTTTTTTTTTACAAAAATTAATTGGTGCATTATAAATTTCGGTCTGATGTAATTAAATTTAAATTTTTAAAGTATTCTTGAAAAGATATTATAAACAACAGCTACCCACCTTCATTCAACATCTACGGATGGTTATCTCCCTCATAGCATTGAATTTGCAGCTGCATCTAATGTGATGTCAAGTTTTGAAGCCCCTGTTGCACAGCCTTTTGGCAGGCAAAAATATTCAACTGCCTTTTTTGAAGTTTTTTTTTTAATCAATGTCAATTCTTTTTCAATCAGTTGTAGTAAGAATCTATGTAAAACTGAAACTCACATAAGTTGTATGTGAAAATCTATGATGGGTAAGAATAGGGTGCTACTAATAAAATGTATGTTTTTAAAGAGATTAATACTATTGTTTTAAATACATTTTTTAATGTTTTGTTTAGCTTTTGTACAATTTTATACTGTATTATACCATAAAAATTTGATTTGACTGTATTGTAAAAAAAAAGAGTTGACTGGATAAATTGAAGTGTGATTTTTATGTGATTATCTATTGTATCTTAGAACTTTCTTTCTTTGTATCTCTTACGCTAGACCAGTGGTTCTAAAATTTTTATTTTTTAAGACAGTGTCACCTTCGTTTTGTAAATTGATCTTTCCCGCCATTAATCTCTCTATGTTGGTCTTAAGGGTTATACAGTGAACCCTTGAAAGCACAAACCTTGAAATAGCATGTCCCTGGCAAATGTGCCAACTCACCCAGGCATGGAACAATTTTTTAACAATGACTGAACCTGCTAAGAGCAACATCCCTGCAAATAGCACCACCTTTGCTTTAGTCCCAAGGGTTTGCATATTTTCCAGGGTTCACTGTAAGAGAATAAATAAATAAATATACATAAGTAACACAACTCCAATAAATTCTTAAAATTACAAAAGAAAATTAAAAAAAATTATGAGTAACATTTTTACTTTATTACTTCACATATACCATGATTGACTTGATGAAGGGGATCTAGCTTTTTAAAGTAAGAGCATAATCATTATTTATGAATTGTTGTATTGTATTACATTACAGTAAATTATTAAATGCTTAAATGTCCATTTAAACAAAAATAATCTCCATGATTCATGGTTGGCCTTTCGACCTTATGGAGTGGAGGGTTGGCAGTTTTGTCTAGTTATTTTAAATACAGGGGTGAGGCTAGGATCAATGTCACCAGGGATAGGTCAACATTTTTGATGGCCACATCCACATAAAAAAAAAAAAAAAAAAAAACCCTCTTCAGTTGGTTAGAAATTCTGCTTGTAAAACAAAGAAGGAAGAATACAGCTTTGACAGAATGCCCCAGTAAAAATTTTTAATGACCACATCCAAAATAAAAAAAAAAAAAAAAAAACCCTCTTCAGTTGGTTAGAAATTCTGCTTGTAAAACAAAGAAGGAAGAATACAGCTTTGACAGAATGCCCCAGTGCCCCCGCCGCAATGTGGCACATGATTAATTACACCAGGAATTCTTATTAAAACTGAAAAGAAAATAAGATTGCACAATGATTTTTTTTGTTAATAAAATGATTTTTTATTTTTTATTTGGCGCTATGTCAGTGAAGCCAACTGGCATGTCATTTAGTGGTGTTTTTCTTATGTGTTAAATTGGTTGCATAAAGAAGTTTAAACTTTTTTTTATTTTTGTTTTAGGATCTGTATTAGAAAAAAAAAAAGTTTGATTCCAAAGTTTAATCTTTTCCAAAATGTACATTATTTGAACAATGGCACTTCTTTAGTTTAAAAGAAAAAAAATATGTTAAAATGTCTTTAGAATGCACGCTGAAATTATATTTCCATATTCAGAGCGCATTGGCTGCTGGTACAAATCTTTTTTCTGTATTGTAGCTGAGAGCTGCCTTAAATGTAACATTTAAAAATTTCATCGACCAGCAAGCAAAATAGTTTTCTGAATCCCCACATAGTGCCTGTAGTAGTAGTGAGTTATTTAGTTATTTAGCCAATTGTTTTCTATGTGGGTGCTCTCATGATTTGACAAGTAAAAAAACAGCATCCTGCAAGATATCGTTACATGCAAACCATTTTTGTGTTTTGTTTTAAGGATCATTGCACCCAGTGCATTACTTATATTCTTGAACTTGAATTTTTTTATGAAAAAATTAATTTTATCAATTACTTTGTGGCCTTATCATCAAGATCTTCACTTTTACAATTTTTTTTTTTTTTTTTACAAATTCAAATTAAATTATTAGTCTTCTGAATTGAAACAAAATTTGAAAAAAAAATGTTTATTTCTTTTTTTAATTTGAAAAATCACAAACTAATACTTCCGAATCTAAAAATTGTTATAACACTTTAGAAGAGCTATGGTCAAACGAAATGTAGACTTCACCTTTTTGTACAAGTCTCGGTGATAATTTCTGACAAATAAGAACCAGTTAAAAGAAAAGAACTAAATACAATCAGATATTTGAAATAAGTTATTTTGTTTCCTTCATTCCAGTCATAAAGGCAAGCCAAACGTACACGCTGTGATAATCCAATCAAATCAATAAATTGATCGTGGGCCATTAAGATATAGAAGAAGAAATCTTTCCTTATTCCAAGGCTAAGTCATGTTTTAAAACGTTTATTGTACATTCGGTCCAATGACTTCATTGTACATCCCTTTCTATTACAACAATATTTATTGTGAAAAATAAGAATTAGATTTTTTTAATTTAGATTTTTGTTTTTAGATTTTTACAGTTTTTTTGAGTTGATGAAAGAGGCTAAAAGAATCACAGGGTGTTTCTATGATAATAACCCATACAATCTTTGGAAAGACTGCATAATAAATTCTTTATGTTCTTATATGAAGTGTTAAAATTATTTTTTTAAAAATATGTGTATGTTAAAGAGAAAGCAAGAATGATAGAGCGAACATTAATATATTTTTTTTTAATGCATGGATAAGCCATTGTGTTAGTCAGTTTGTTTGACTCACATTTCTGCGAAACAATACAGAGGCATCTTTTGTCTAAGATAAAACAAACAAAACCTAGGATGTATAAACAAAACCTAGGATGTATAAACAAAACCTAGGATGTATAAACAAAACCTAGGATGTATAAACAAAACCTAGGATGTATCAACAAAACCTAGGATGTATTGCTTGGCAATAAGTACCGGTACACCCTCCCGCCCATCATCAATGACAACCTCACGCCTTGTTCACTCACACTCACACTCCTTCTGGTGAAACATAACTTACTCTAACCCCCCCCACACACACATAACAACAGTGATTCTCATACACTTGAGACCAACCACAACTCCTCCACCCAAGATTGACAACAAGGAGACTTGTAACATTGCTATAATGTTCAGTTTGAAAAGATAGTATAGCCACAACATTACCCCGTATATTCTCTAAATTTTGAAGAAAGAGTACTATTAAACCTGTTATTTAAAAAAAAATAATAATAATTTTTTTTGACCAAGACTACATCTCATTTAGCATGTTGTTGTTGTTACTATTTTTCGTGCCAAATTCGCGCTAATGGTGATACCTTAAATACCGACGTAATAGGTCTACTTCCTTTGTTTTAGTTTGCGGTCCTCATAATATTAGGCTCAATGGCCCACCGAAGCCCCTGCTCCCTCTGAAAACTCGTGCACGCAGACGCCCAAGGGGGGGGGGGGAGGGGGAGAGGGAGTCGCGGGGGAAACCCTCAAAGGAGGGGTTGGGGTGAAGCCAAATGGATTATTGGACATCTGACATAGTCGGTGTCATGACATGTCTAGGTTGAATAAAAGACCGGGTGGCCACAATACTGGAAGCCTCTGTTATCGTATCTGGGGCCAACAATCTCAGAATGTGCTTATAAAATGTTGAGCTGACAGAAATGTTTCTAGGATTTTCCCCTTTAAAGGGCAAAGAAAAAGAAGATGATGAGATCAGATCTAATACTTGAAAAAAAAATAATTTAAGTGTTGGACTGTACATAATGATGGTCCAAGTTCAAGGTTACGGTAATGCTGCGACAATATCTTCAATATATGCAGGTTTACAAACCCTGCAACATTTCCCCCCACCCCCCCTTTTTTTTCACAACCCCCCCACTCCCCCCCNCCCCCCCCCCCCCCCACCAAAAAAAAAAAAAAAAGGTCAACAAAAAACAGCTGTGTTTAGCCCTTCCAATGTAAAAAAAAAATCAGAAATTCCGCCCATGGCCCTCCCCCTTTCAATCCCTCTCCCTCCCACTAAAAAAACAAAAAACAAACCCACTCTAGCATGCTTAAAAAATTGAAAACTATCGATGTAAGAAAACAATATCTGAGTTATTTTACCTTTTAGTTTTCCTTCATAGATGGAGGTTGCGCAAATACTTTAAATAAAAATTTTTATGATCATTATTGTTATTACAAAGTTTATTTTTTCACCTTTTCAAATAGGCCAATATTAAACCCTGAATTAATCCTAGTAGGCAACCCTTTTTAATGACGTCATGCATTTAGCAAAAGTAGGGTGGGGGGTTTGGAGGGAGGGGAAATCATGACTAGTGAGTGACGATTATTTTTTTAAGGTTTCCAAATTTGTGACAATGAAGGAAAAGGAAGGACTGTGGTAAATAGCGTGACATAGGAAACCCCTTAACGAAATAAATCCATAAATTTTACAAGCACTGCTTTGTCATTAATGTTTTGTGGTGTGTAAGTGTAAGCAATCTTTAAAACCGTATAGACGTGGACAGATGAAATAGGAATTATCATGAAATGAATTATAATCTTAAAAATTAACATCTCTTTGTGAATAATGACAGGTACATTGACTAAATGCACCCCCACCTCGATTCCTTCCACGATTCAGGCTCTCTAACAGTGTGAGTCCCTATTACACAAACATATTATTTATGGTATGGCATAAAGCTGTAGCTCTCAAAGTGGGCGACATTGATCCATAAAGTCTGTGGGGGACTGGCGAATGATAGCATGTAAATGCTTAAAAACTGATTTATACTTGATCTTTAATATAAACAACCACAAAAAAATTGTTCATATAAATCCTTCAAATATATTTTTGTTTGAATTTATGTAATTGTACATAAGAATGAGCTAGAGTGACATAACGCCAAAAGGGAGATATGATTTAAGTACGTTCGGATTCCTAAAAACAATCAGAGTTTTTTCTATTATTTTACGGAAATCGGAAATCGAATAAATTTGAATGTGCAAAAAATATGTTATATCCGCTTTTATTTTTATTAAAAGTTAAAGTTATATTATTATTAATTTCAAATACATTCAAAGGATCAACTAAGGAACTATTTTAAGCATTTTATATGTATTTGAAAGTAATGAAAAATTTTAACCGTAATCACATTTATAGGGAAAACTCGAGCATCAGTCGCTTTTAGTGCGTCTTTTAGTGCGTTGTTAATATTGCGAAATAAAATTAAAAATTAATTTGTTCTAAATAATGACACAAATGACGTCATAGCGCGAATAGCCTATTTTGCCAAAACTCTTTAGTTTCTTTAAATTTAATAACCGTGCGTGACAAAACTGAAAATGTATTTTCCTTTCTTAAAAGTAAAATTAATTAATACAATGGATTGCGTTTTAAATTGTTATTAAAACACACACACATTTCAGCTTTGTATATTTTTTACATTTAAAACGTTTTGCCCTTTTTTAATCCAAAAATATACTTTTACTAAATTTATAACGTTATAAAAAGGTAACCTTTAAATATAATTCTAATAATAAATGCGTTTTAAGTCAATCAGTGCAGCGCATCCCTATAGCTAAATAGCATTCATTAATCAACTTATACCTTATACACATAAGAACGAACCATATGAAGTGCAAAATATGTTATTTTGGGTATGGAAGGGAATACAATCTGGTGGAAGATTTTCTAATTTTATTTAAATCTGGGTGGGGGAGGGGTTGGTCGCCTTGCTCCAAGCAGCACAAGATACGTCTCAAAAGAAAGGAATGATTTTGATAAATAATTAACCTTCTTGGGTACATGCACATCGGAGGTAGGAAATGGATGTGTACATTTTTTTACGTGGAAACAATATATTTAAATTCTATGTTATTACATTTGTGAAAAAAAGAGATGCTAGATTTTCTTTTTACAAATATGGGTATGTTCATTTTGTCGAAGGAAGCACAAGACGCATTTAAAAATAAAGGATTGATTTTTATCAATAATAAACCTCCTTGGGTACATACATATCGGAGGTAGCAAGTAGGATGTGC